TTCCGGAATTCCATTCTGACCCTCGGATCAAAATCTCACTATCGAACCGGAAACTTCAAAAAATTCAACTTTCGGCATTTCAAGCCTAAATTAGCTACGGGTCTCTAAAACACAATCCGAACACGCTCCTAATCCCGAAATCACCCAACGAAGCTAACGGAACCATCGGATTTCCATTCTGAGGCCGTCTTCACACTGTTCCGACTACGGTCAACTTTCCAACACTTAAGCTCTCATTTAGGGACTAAGTGTCCCAAAACTTTTCGAAACTCAAAACCGAACATCCCGGTAAATCAAAATAGCAGAAATGAACTTGGGGAAAGTAGTTAATAGGGGATCGGGGCGTTAAATCCTAAAACGACCGGTCGGATCGTCACAAGAAGACAAATGTTTAGAATTGTGATGTCAAAATATCACACGACAAGGAAATCAAATGAAGTGGAAATTTTTCCTAACAGTTACATAGCCTCTCGTAGATAAGTACAGACGTCTCCGTACCGATCAGCGAGACTCTAACAAATCGGCTTGTGATCCATGACTCATATGAACCTAGAGCTCTGATACCAACTTGTCACGACCCCGGTTCGCCCTCCGTGGACCATCATGATGACACCTAGTCTCTACGACTCGGTAAGCCTAAATTGCGGAAGATAACCAAACTTGAGGAATAAAACGGTTCAAAAATAGAAATAAAGCAATAATAGTGTTAAATGTGCCACTCGGCATACACCATATATATATATATATATATATATATATATATATATATATATATATATATATAAAGTCTCAAAACCAATATCTAAATCCAAGACCTGGAACCCCACGAATCACAAGCTTAAATACTACATAGCTCTAACTCCGGAATGTCCAATAAAAACAGAAAGATACAGAAGGGCTAAATACTAAGGCAGGAATAGAAAGGGACTCCTTGGTCTGCGGACGCGGCAGATGTACCTCGCAGTCTCTAAGCAATCGCCTCACTCAAGGATGGTAGGCCTGATCAGTGGTACCTAGATCTGCACATGAAAAACATGCGCAGAAGGGGCATGAGTACACCACAGCGGTACTCAGTAAGTATCAAGTCTAACCTCGGTTGAGTAGTGACGAGGAAGGTCAGGGCCCTACTGAGGTTAGTAAATAGTAAAATGACAGGATAAGATAAACAATATAATTGAGAAACTACAGTAAAAGTCTATACAGGATAATAAAAGTACAATAACGGAAACAGAATATAAAGGCAAATCACAAGGAAATACCACTCACAACAAGGATAATAACCGGGGATCTCTTGGTATCCTCAATATATACACTAGGGATCTCTTAGTATCCTCAATATATGCCAGAGATCTCTTGGTATCCCGAGGATCTCTCGGTATCCTCAATATACGTGCCAAGGATCTCTTGGTATCCCGTACCTCAGTCCAGATCATAATTTCGTGCAGGGAATCTCCTGACACCACGTCTTTGCCACGAGTACTCGACTCCAATTGGCCCACATCTATTCAATTCAATTTTATAACGTAAATAACACTTCAAGTAACTGGTTCTACAATTAAAGTCTAAGCTAATACGCAAAATTATGTAAAATGACCAAAACGCCCCTCGGGCCCACGTCTCAGAATCGGGTGAAATTTATATTTTCAGAAACCTCGTACTCTCACGAGTCTAACCATATAAGAATCTCTCAAATCGGATGTCAAAAGCCCAATCAAAACTCAATAATTCGGCCTATGAAGTTTATCAAATTTTCCACCAACATTCGAAATTTAAAGACTAAATTTAAGTTAGGAATCATGGAAATTGATCTAAGTTGGGTAGAGATCACTTACCAAAGTTACCCAAGTGCAAAAGTCTTCAAAAATTGACCCTCCCGAGCTCTCAAATTCGAAAATGTGAAAATAGGCTTAAACCCTCGAATTGGGATTTTAAGAAATCTGCCCAGGTATGTGTACACCGCGATCGCGAAAGGGGACCCGCGATTGCGAAGGGTAAAATTTGAGGGCTCCTGAACTGGGCTATGCGAACGCGAGATGGGTCACGTGATCGCGAAGAAGGAAAAGGGCGGGCTTACGCGTTCACGAACAAGGCCACGCGAACGCGAAGGGTAAAAGGCCACTGGGTCATATCTCTACTATGCGAACGCGAAAGAGGTAATGCGAACACGAAGCAGGAAGGGACAGGCTTCCGCGATCGCGAACCAAGTCATGCGATCGCGAAGAAAAAATTAGACCCCCTCCAAAAATACACTACGCGAATGCGAAGGAAAGGTCGCGAACGCGATGAAGGAAACCAGATACCAGATTTTTCTGCAATTCTACAAGTTCCAAAATGACCCGTTGAGCATCCGAAACACACCCGAGGCCCCCGGGACCTCAACCAAACCTGCCAACCAATCCTAAAACATCATTCAAACTTGTTCCAACCTTTGGAACGCTAAAAACAATATCAAAACACCTACTTTTCATCGGATTCAAGCTTAAGAATTCCAAAAACTCTACAAACACACTTTCGATCAAAAAGTCTATCAAACCTCGTCCGAAAGACCTGAAATTTTGCACACACGTCACATTAAACACTACGGAGCTACTCCAACTTCCGGAATTCCATTACGACCCTCGGATCAAAATCTCACTATCGCACCGGAAACTTCAAAAATTCAACTTTCGGCATTTCAAGCCTAAATTAGCTACGGGCCTCTAAAACACAATCCGAACACGCTCCTAACCCCGAAATCACCCAACGAAGCTAACGGAACCATCGAATTTCCATTCCGAGGCCGCCTTCACACTGTTCCGACTACGGTCAACTTTCCAACACTTAAGCTCTTATTTAGGGACTAAGTGTCCCAAAACTCTCCGAAACTCAAAACCGAACATCCGGCAATTCAAATTAGCAGAAATAAACTTGGGGAAAGCAGTTAATAGTGGATCGGGGCGTTAATTCTTAAGACGACCAGCCGGGTTGTCACACTATAAAACTTATTGGAACATTCAAAAGTTCTAAGTCCAACCTTGACATAGTATCTCAAAATATAAAATTATGAAATCTTTTAAGAAATATTTATAAATTACATCACAATAAGTATATTTATATATTAAATATATCTAAAAAAATTATGTATGTAATATCGAGTTGGTTTGGTTTCGGTTTGACTTGCTTTAGTTACAACCAAACCAAACCAAACCAATTATGGTCAGTTTCTTTTCCTAACACCAAACCAAATCAAACCAAATCATAGTCGTTTTTTTTTCTCGGTTAGACTCGAATTATTGGATTGGTACGGTTTGTCGATTTCCTTTGTACACCCTAGTAATAACATACCAAACTCCTTGAATATGTCCAAAAACTATCACAACAAAATAAATAATCCATTAAGTGATTGACTTCTTTTCTTCTACTTTCTACAAAGCTAATAATATTATTCGAGAATACTCTTCTAGGCGAGCAACTTGATTAAATTACTTTCCTTAGTTCCTTTTTACTGTAGTAGATATGTTTTACAATTTGGGGAAATTGCTTTTCGAGTTGCAACCTGTACTGATAGACTGTTAGTGATAGTGTGATAAGGTGCAACAACTAAGCGTACTTATATGTATGACCAAACTCAATAATATTTGGCAATTTAAGAAGCAGGTATCTAGGATATTTGCTGCACTTTCAGGCAGGGGTGTTCGTCGGTCGGTACGGTACGATATTTAGATATTGCGATTCGGTATTTTCCGTATTCGATTTCTTAAAATCTTATACCAATACCGTACCTAATTAAATTCGGTATGGTTCGGTTTTTCTTCTTTCGGTTTCGATTTATTCGGTTCGCTAACTTCGGTTTATTTGGTTTGAATACTAACTAGTGCATAGAGCCATACATTCTAATTTTCTTAATTAAGGTACTCAAAAATACAAAACTGAAAATGTTTGTTGACAAAAAATTTGTCCAAAACTAGCAATTATCGACCCAAATAGAAAAAATTGTACATAAAAGAATATTTGATCATTACAAATGTCTTGTTACTTGTTTAGAGTTAATTGATGAACTTTGAGAATAACGGAAAGTATAATTTTGGATTTTTTATATTTATGTTATAACTGATAATATGTGTTTTGTGTAATATAATATATATTTCGGTACGGTATCGATATTTCGGTATTTTATTTTAAAATACCAAATATACCATACCTAATACCATTTTCTTAAAAAACTTAAACCAAATACCAAAATACCGTATACCAAAATTTTCGATTTCAGTAATGTAGTACGGTATTTACCAAATTATGCCCAGCCATACTTTCAGGTTTTACAATTGCTAGCCATTATTATTATTTTTAGGCGGTAACTTGTATAAGATCATTTTGTGGCCCCTACTTTCAGGTTTTATAATTGCTAGCCATTATTATTATTTTTAGGCTGTAACTTGTATAGGATCATTTTGTGGTCACCGGGTGACATAACTTTCGTCCGCGTGGCTAAATATGAATTTGCTCATTTAAGAAGCAGGTATCTAGGAAATTCGGCGCACTTTCAGGTTTTTCAGTTGCTAGCCGTTATTATTATTTTTAGGCTATGACTTGTATAGGGTCATTTTGTGGCTACCGGGAGACATAACTTTGGCCCGAGTGACTATAAATGAATTTTGCTCATATTTTTTTTTATTATTTGTTGCTTTTAAATTTAAATCATACATAATTTTAATACAAAATTAAATCAAAAGAAGGGGACACATTATATATGATAAATATTGGTCATTTTCGAAGGTTTAATATTTCGTTTAATCTTTATTTTTAAGATCTTATTTTTTTTAAAAGATATACACATTGTTATAGGGTGCAGGCGTATCCTAAATCTAGTATCATAAAAAAGGTAAAGTTAACGTTATGAAGCAAAACCTCAAAAGTCTCTACAATTATCCCTAATTTCTTTAATTCATTTTCTCTGTCACATAATTATTGGGACCAACGAGTACATCTAAGAGCATCCATACAACAATAGCACGCAGATGCTTAAGAAATGACCAAATGGTTATTGAGGATAGTTATCACCAAATTAAGATGCACATCCTACTGGACATGTCTTCACTGTTTACCTAAAAGAAGAGAATACTGAGAAATTAAAATACATAAGAAATAGTAGGTGCTGCTAATCAGATCCCCAAGGAATTCAAATTGTAACATCTATAACAATACCAAGCATATCAAGTTTCAACAAGCAAAATACTCTTAAGAAATTAAAATCCACATGCAATAGCCTTGTAAATTCTGTTCCAATGTCAACCTCTCAACGATTGGCCTTGGCAACTCTTTCAATCTCATCCTTCTTCTTAATGGCATAGCTGCAGAAACAAAAATCATTCACAGGAGTAAGCAATAAAGCCGTACATATCCAAAGAAACTGAGTTGGAAAGAAAGGTGAACCAATCAAGTATACACTCAAAATCTCAAGCCTTTTACCTATTTGAAGAACCCTTGGCAGCATTGATGAGTTCATCTGCAAGGCACTCAGCTATGGTCTTGATGTTCCTGAAAGCACTCTCACGTGCACCAGTTGTCAGCAAATAAATGGCCTGGTTAACACGGCGAAGTGGAGAAATATCAACAGCCTGACGCCTCACAACACCAGCTGAACCAATACGAGTTGCATCTTCCCTTGGCCCACTAATATGATCAAATGGAGAAGACAAAGCTATCAGTGAGACAGATGTATCAGTAGGGTATTTGAACAATATTTGGTTGGATTTGGAAAAAAAAGTATTTGAAGTTGAAGTTGAAAAAGAGTATTCGAAAGTTGAAGTTGTATTTAGACATGAACTACACCTAGAAAAGATGTTTAAGAAAGTTGAAGATTTGTGAGTAAATTCATTATTTTATTTGAGATACTCCTCAAACTAGTATTTAAAATCATCCAGCAGCATTTGGGATACTCAAATTTCAGTATTTGTAAATATAGAACGGCCAAACCAATATCTGAAAATACTGAAGCATTGGACAATGGGCCCACTGTTAACCCCATTTAAAATAAAACAAAAATAAAAGATTGAAGAATATGTGAATGAATTAAGCGCCAATCATCAGTGTGCACCTGTTAATGACGGCATCAACAATGACTTGAATTGGGTTCTGGTCAGTCAACAAATGAATGATCTCCATTGCGTGCTTGATGATGCGGACGGCCATTAGCTTCTTTCCGTTGTTCCGTCCATGCATCATAAGAGAGTTGGTGAGCCTCTCAACAATTGGGCACTGGGCCTTCCTGAAACGCTTAGCCTGGTATCTACCAGCTGTGTGTGGCATATAAACTGGATGCTTGGAAGCAGTTGCTGTGATGTAATCCTCAACAGAGATGTCATTGATCTTCACCAAAAAGTGAGATCATAGTTAAGGAGAAATCTTTCAAATTGCATTTAAGATAAGTTTCAGCCTCGCTAATACAGCAACTTAAGAATAATACTCAATTAAAAAAGGCAGAAACAGAAGTAACAATCACCTTAGTATTTAGTTAGCCCACTTAATTTTCTCACCCTCTCTCGCTCTCTACAGAGTCTGCATTAAACCCAATGTTCTCCACTCCGGAATGTTATTGAGAAAGAATTACACTTTTACTGAGTAGCAACAGCTTTTCCTTCTATTTCAGGGAATAACCAGCTAAAAAATATAGCCCATAATATTTGCCCTCCTAATACCTCTCCCCACCGAATTAGCTTATTTGGCTATCTGGCCCGAGTCTATAGGAGTGCAACATTCTAAAAGGAACATGTAAACTTAAAATCACATAGAAGTAGTCTCAAAAGTCCTATAATCTCTTGGATTCAAATATGGCAGTGGAAGATAAAATCTATATAGAAGATACCAATTTGCTAAAGTCAAGTCTTAGTCATGTTAGTAAGTTCACTATAAGTCCAATGATCCTTAGGAATCTCTTAGTCCTGCTAGATATAAAATGTGGAGCAACTTAGATAGCGAGAGTTCATATAGCCAGCCCAACTTGCTTGGGATTCAAGTCTAGTTGTTTGTTGCTGCATCTGGCACATTACTATCCTACTGCAAGTCTTTTTTATCATGGCCCTATAAGTTGAAAAATCAGTTTCTGTTTTCCGTTTATGGAAAGTCAATGTAACAAATTATCAGTTTATTCTTCAAATTTCTAAGTTTTGGTACTCAAGCTCTATAAGCAGCAACTTTCCGTGTATGATAAGAACACAAAAAGTACATTCAGCTTGGATCTAGGTGACTTTTCAAATTTCAAAATTTACAATAAAATAAAACGTGCAAAGGAAAGAGTTATTAGCAGATATAGACATGTCGCTGTATTTAGGTACCTGGACATCGTCGTAGGTCCAGCGATTGAAAAGCATAACATCACTGTGAATCTTATTCTCTGCGGTTGCGTCTACTGGGGCGGCTACTACACCTGCGTCCATTTTTTCTTCTCTGCTCCAATTCTTCACCTGCTGCACAAATTTAACAGTTAGAACAATGCATTTCGCAGTATTTTTGTGTTTGTATATACAGATAGAAGGAGGGAGCCGCTCACCTTACGGGAGGAGTCTTTGCCTGCTGCTGCTGCTGTATCAGAGAGTGGAGTGTGTTAAAGCCCTAGAAACTTTATAGTAGGGTTTCGCGGAAGGGGGGCAAGGCTATAATGTTATAGTTCGGCCCAATCTATATTGGGCTTTCTACTCTGCTATGTCTTGGATCCGACTTTGTCGTCGAGCCCAAATCCAATTACTGCAAGTCGATTTTTTATGGAATTTTACCTAGCTATACTATTCCATATTAGAAATTTATTTAGCACTTTTCTTTATATTCCTTGAAAATTACATTGTGTATTTATATTTACTATTTGTATACAAAATCATGATAAAAGAAGGATTCCTTAAATTCAAGGATTAAATTGTAAACCCCCCCTCCCCCAAATTCTCCACATCATTCAGCTTAATTATCCTCTACAATCATGATTTTTTTCCTTCAAAAAGTCTTAAAACGTGTACTACTTACCAAAAGTACAGCCTATAGCTTTATACCAAATAATCATAGTATCTCACAATTGCCAACTTGTTTATTGCTTCAGCTTTCTAAAAGTCCAAGTCCTCTAAAGTAATTGTAAGATGATGGATTATTCCTTTTATCCTAGCATTTATTTTCTGTTGAAGTGGTCCACTTGATTTATATTTTATACATTAACAAAATTCAAATGGATCCTTCTTCTTATATAACTCGTTCAACTCTACATTCTTGCTTTATATGATTTTTTTTTTATAGAAATCTTCCTAAATTGCTATCTCTTCACTAAAATCTTACGGGTGTGAACTTCCATTTGCAAATGCTCTTCACTGATAGGTAAAAAATATAAATTATATGATAATTGTATCCGGTTTGTTTTAGAATTATATAACAATTGTATCAAAATTGTATATGACTTGTATATGATACATCAATACCAAAATTAATACTTGATACTGTCACGACCCGGATTTTCCACCCTCGGGAGTCGTGATGGCGCCTACTAATGGGAGCTAGGCAAGCCAATTAACAACTACCTCTTTTAACGAACTTTGATAATATTAGGAACAATAAAGCATTTAATAAATAAGCGGAAGTCTCAAATATGATTAACTAAAAGAAATGAGGAAGTTTAACAAAATCCTCTACTCAAGACTGGTGTCACAATACTCACGAACGTCTAGAGAATACTAAATACAAGGTTTGAATGAAATATAAGACTGTCTGCTTCGGTACAAATGATAACAAACAGAATAAAATAGAAAGGGACTCCGGGCCTGCGGACGTCAGCAAGGCTACCTCGAATGCCCCTGGACTGGAAGCTCGCTCCCAGAATGCTATTGCTACTCAAATGCTGCTCCAACACCTAGATCTGTGCAAAAAAAGATGCACAGAGTGTAGCATCAGCACAACCGAACCCATGTGCTGGTAAGTGCCTGGCCTAACCCCGGCGAAATAGTGACGAGGCTAGACAGGACTGTCACATAAACCTGTGCAGTTATAAATATATATATCTACAGCGAGATAATAACAATAATAACTATTTTAAATGGGAAGGGATCATGCTTCGGGGATAGCAGATAATACGAAAATTAAAGAGAATAATAGGGAACATCAATAAATTATCTCTAACACGGGTAAGGAGGATAAAAGCAGATTTCACTGTCTGTACACATCTCGTTGCAGGCGTGCAACCCGATCCCATTTCTCAATGTTTCCGTGGTAGGCGTACCACCCGCTCCCATTTTATTAAATCTCGTGGTAGGCGTACCACCCGCTCCCATTTCATTAAATCAACAGTTCTTCCAAATGAAATTTACTCCAACAAACGCAATAATTTATACGAATTCATAAGACAACAAGTACACAATAATTATGACTCACCGAAGAAAACAAGTAATGACAAGTAACACAATAAAGAAAAATGCCAACATAAAGAAAATCAGTAATAGCGGAATAAGACAACTAATGCACTTGAACCGATGACAACAAGAAAATCAATAAATAGAAGTAGAGGACAACGTAACTCAATTATCAGCAAAAACATCAGGAAAATCAAAGATAAGTGCACGGCATCCCCCTTCGTGCTTTTACTCTAGAATGGGAATGTGTCGGCTGGCCTTGTCTTCACGAGAGGCACCATCACGACCGGGTTGGGCTCATACTGGGTTGGGTTGGGTATCAGAGCCTAGATTACATAGGTCTCACGAGTCATGAGCAGGTTTAGTAGAGTCTCGCGGATCGGTACGGAGACGTCTGTATTTGTCCTCGAGAGGCTGCAAAACCTTTAGGAAAACTCCATATTCTTGAAATGTTTATCGTGCGTCCTTGATTTAGCTTGAAATATAACTCTTTGAACTCCTTCCACGCACTCGTATGCACGAACGAGCGCTTAGTATCAGATGTGCATCGATGGCTTATGATTCCCTGATCGAGGGGCGAGATGTGATCTCTGTATGTGTTTGACGTTGGGCCAGTCTAGAGGACTTAAGGCCAGAATTTTTACCTATAGCTTGAGCACCGAGGTGCTGATTATGTGAGCCGTGTTTTTGAACTTATATATTTGGTAGTGTCCCTATTAGTGGAAGTGACGGCTGGACGGCTATGTGATGAGTATGTTAGTACTGCGAGATGTATCTATATGATTTGGAAGCGACGAGAAGGGTCTGCTGGAGGATAGATGAACTATTAGGTGCTTGATTTCCATCTTGATTTGAGGTATAGTCCCGAGTTATAGGTGTGTGAAGAATCTTTTCATGCTTTCGAGTTGGGAGTGAAGTAAATTTCATATCGCGGTATGAGTTCAAACTCAGGAAGACTAAGTGACTACGTAATGTTTATGACGGTGGAAGGTATACAGAAATGTTAGTTGGAGGCAAAGCAGGTGGGTTATCTCTTGCGGAGTGTTCTGAGGTTGTGTGATCCTTATGTTGTCTGTTAGAAGATCTCATTTACAAGTGAAATATATGTGTTGCAATTTAAATTTGGGTCGCTTAAGAGAGTGGGTTTAACTATGCGAGGGTGAATGTGAGATTTGCAGAAGATTTAAAGTACCAAATGGTCTGTGTTTCACGAGCTTATGAAGGATTGAATTTAACCTCACTACAAAAGTATGGCAGTAATAGAGTATATTCATTATGAGTTATGGTGCATTTTGATCTATGGCTTCGAGCCAAGTGGGGGAGTCTGCTATTGATTAGGTGATTGCACGGCTAGGTTCTATGTTGGTTCTAGTTGAGGCGTGCTGGTGAATCAGTTATGGTTTGCGGAGATTGAGCCCGAGGATGGCTCGAGTAAAGGAAAATTTTCGACTGGGGCAAGGCTATTCATGCTTTATAGGCGTTTGAGAATCACGGAATGTCTTGAGTTGTTGTTGATAAAGAATGCTCGGTGCATATAGCAGGAAGTTGCTTGGCTGTATTGGGATGAGGTTACATTCTGTAGTGTCGGAGTGCTAATGAGGCACGGGTTGTTCGGTTCATTTGATCAGGCTAATTGAAGCTTGAGTAGAGTGGATGACTCTAGAGAATGGTTCTAATGCGTTCAAGGTCTTTTATGTAATAATTGGAGGCTTTCAAGTTGTACTTGTGGCTAGAAACTGAGTTTTCAGTGGAAAGATGGCTAGACTTGTGGTATTTTCTATATTAACTAGGGGATTCTATATATCAGTATCGGGAAGGTGAAGGTAATGGCTTTGGATTCGCAGTAAGTCCTTCCGGGGTAGGTATCTTGAAAGTGGTGCTTTTGGGAACATTTAAAAGAGTATTCAGCAGGTTGTGAGCCTTAGGCCGTGTGGTATTATGCTTGGGTCTCATGTGGTAAGTTTGGGTTGAGGAAATGTGATAATATAGCAAGAAGGCGTATCAAGTGAAGGTAAATCAGAAGGGAGCTCGGATAGATGGGATAGCTTGGTAGTAGGCCAGATCGGTATGGTAAAGATATGGTTAGTTCTTTGGGTGTTTACAAGGTAATGAGTTTCTACAGGAATTTTGCGGTAATGCTCTTGGGTTATAGTGGCCTGCGTAGTTGGTTGAGTTAGAAGGATTCAGACCCGACGGTTCAGTTTTGTGCAAAAGGAATCAGGAGAGTTCTTAACGGATTCTACCATGGTTAGAGAGGTATATTTTCTGCTGGCATGAAGAGCATGGGATGTGTAATGATTTTATTCTAGGTGGGATCAATGGGAAGTTCTTGACTAGTTGAGTACGCACCTGTTTGTGGCTCGGAAGGGGTTTTAAGTCCTCATGTTTATCCTGGGATGGTATGGTATATGTGGTATGTGGTGGAGGATTGAGATTTGCGTGTGTAAGGTTACGGTTCAGTTCTGAAAGGAAGGTCATAAAATTCTTAGGCAGCACGGGCAGTTTCAGATAATTAGAGAAATGAGCTTTAGATGATTAGGGGAATGATCTTCAGATGATTAAGGAAATGGTTTTGCTAATTGGGGTGATTTGACGAGGGTATATGTTTCAGAAAAAGGCAATGTGATTAAGTTGATGGTACTTCATTAGTATTGCGGTACTTTCTTGTTGGATCGACTGCGGATATTTGGGTTTACTTGGTGGCCTAGAAGAATCATAAGAGTATCTCTCATGGGAATGATTGGATATTAGAGGTGTGTTGTATACTCGGCCGGTGGAATTGGGATCGGATATGGTGATTCGTGTGCTATATGGAGTTGGAGACTGGGAGTCCTCATATTCATGCTATGTTATGGTTGTGGGCCGTGTGTATCGGCACTGTTTAGTGACTATCGGGGTTTGGAGACCCGAGTGGATCTTTGCTGCTTGGTATGTTAGATTACGAATGTGATATTGGGTATAGACTGGTTGTCTTAGTGTTGTGTCACTCTGGGCTATTGCGCTAAGGCGCCGATGCTGGCTATGCTGAGAATGCCACGGATGGAGTGGCGAGGTTCGATGGATTATGTTCTTAGTAGGGTGGTTCGTATTTCGAAGACCCAGCAGATGGCTGGGAAGGATTGTCTTCCTTATTTGGGCTCTCGTGATGGATGTCAGTGCAGAGGCTCCTCATATTGATTCAGTTCCGGTGGTGAGGGACTTTTCGGATGTGCTTCTTGTGGCCGGGCATGACGCCAGGCAAGGTTGTTGATTTCGGTATTG